GTGCAAGCTGCCCATTCAATACGCATTAATGCACCCCCATACCATCAGAGATGCAGGCTTTTCAACTGAGTGCTAATAAGCTGGAAGGTGCTTCTCCTTCCAGAGAGGGGTTTGGCACCCATCGTTGCCAAAAAGATCAATTTAGTTGACCACACAATAGCTTTCCTCTTTTCGAAAGACCATTCTAAATGAGCTTTGGCTTGGAGAAGCCGGACGCATTTCTGGATCACGCTCAGACATGGCTTCTTCTTTGTATGATAGAACTTAAATTTTTGTATGGATGGCGAACTGTGTTCATATAGTGATTTTTTTTTTAAGTATTCCTGAGCCCATGCAGTGATGTCCATCAAAGAATTATGCCTGTTTCTAATGCAGTGCTGTCTGAGTGCCGTAAGATCACGGGCATCCGGTATTGAATTTTGGCCAGAATCTTGGAATCTTTTGATATTATGTACTGTGGATGATATATTTTGTCTTTTTTTTACATTAACGATTATTCTGAAATTGTTTGACAATTTTTAGACGCAGGTTTTCACAGATAGGGGAACCTCTGCCCATCTTTACTTCTGAGACACTGACTCTCTAAAATGCTCTTTTTATTCCCAATCATGTTACTGACCTGTTGCCAATTAACAATTAGTTGCAAAATGTTGTTCCAGCTCTTCCTTGTTAGTACTATTTACTATGCCAGCTTTTTGCCGCCCTGTCCCAACTTTTTTTCGAGACTTGTTTCTGCCATCAATTTCAATTTTATTCTTAAAATAATACATTTTCTCAGTTAATTTTTTTTTTAAATCAGATCGTTTTTATTGAAAATTTTGCAAAGAGCAAAAAAAAATACACGATAACGTACATAGACAAACAATAAAACAACCAAGTGTTTTTCAAGCATGATACAACATGAAAACCATGTGCAATTACAGTTGCACAGCTGTTGAACCGCTTTAGCAAGTACATAGGTATACAAGACACACGTAGCGGCAGAGGCTCCTTTAGCAATAATTAAAACTGTACAAACACAATGTTATTGATAAAGAGATAAGAACAGAAGATTTTAATTATATGGTTCTAAAATTTAGAAATTGGGATCATATCAAGGAAAATTGCGATCAAGCCCTCTCCTCCGATAGGATCATTGCCTTTGTGCGTATAACTTATCTAATTCCGTCATCCACTCCGAGACAGAAGGCGGGGAGTTTGATATCCATGTACGTGCAATAAGTCTCCTGGCAGTAAATAGGGCTCTGTGAATGGCCATCTTTAAATGAGTAGACATTATGGAGGGATCCAATCCTCCTAGGAGGCAGGTGAGCAGTGAAAAATCAATTGAGCAGTAAAAAATCAATTGAGACATTCAAAACAGAGTTAAGCACAGTAATTATCTGGCTCCAATAACTGACCAGTTTGGGGCATCTCCATAGGAGATGCAGCAGAGCACCTTGGTGGAAGCCACACTTTGGTCAAGATGAATCATGCCAAACACCTATTTTAACCAGAAATTCAGGTGTGCGGTACGATCTATGTAGAATTAAGAGTTGGATACGTCTGTGGGTTGCAGAAAGTGAGGCTAAGGGGTCATTATGGAGCTCGTCTGTGATGGGTCCGACATCCTGAAACCATCTATCTTTGGCTTTAGTCAAGAAAAGTGAGGTGGAATTGTTCATCAAGTTAGAGTATAAAAAAGGAGAAAGCCCTTTGTGCGTACCGAACAAACCAGTGCATCCAAGACAGGAGTGGGGCATAAGGGCAGCGGAGCCATCCCAAACTGAGATCAGAGAGCATGTCTAACCTGAAGGTAACTGAAAAGGTGTTTATCGGTTAAGTGATATTGTGACGTCAACTGCATGAAGGAGCACAAGGAGCCACCGACATACAGCTGATCAACAGTACATATCCCTGCCCATCTCCAAACAGGAGAGTTGTGCAGAAAGTACAGAAGTTGAGGCATTCATAGCATTTTAAGGAGATTGATTCTATGACAGAGAGGGAGTTTAAGCCATGCTGTCCGTTGAATTTTGAATTTACCTAGTAAGGGCAATAAATTAGTATCAATGTAGGCATCCAGACAGGGGAAAGTTGGATCCCCAAATAAGTAAGACAAGAGCAGATCTTCATATGTGTCACCTCACCTGAGAGGGACACCGGTAAAGTGTCAAGAAGCAGGAGGTTAGATTTGTCCCAGTTAACAGCTAGTCCTGAAAAATAGGCAAATTTAGATAGATGAGACATAGTTGCGCTTAGCGAGGCTTGCGTTTCAGCCAAAAAGAGAAGAAGAGTGTTGTCTCCATATAGAGCAATCTTCTCCTCTATTCCACCTCGTCTGAAACCTACAATGTCCAGGGAGGACCTAATCAAAGCGGCCAATGGCTCAATAGCCATGGCAAAGAGGAGAGGGTAGAGAGGACAGCCCTGTCTGGTGCCTCTATGAAGTAAAACATTTTCGGAGAGGGAGCCGTTGACCTTCACATATGCCGAAGGAGAAAAACATAGAAGACAAATCCAATTACAAAATTGGGGTCCAAAACCCAAAAGAGGAAAGTACCACCCATAAATAACGTAATTCGACACTGTCGAAGGCCTTCGCAATGTCCAAGGCCAACAAAGCCCTATTATCTAGGTTATCAATGGGAATTTGCATAGTCATGTACAGGTGAAACTCGAATAATTAGAATATCGTGCAAAGTTCATTTATTTCACTAATGCAACTTAAAAGGTGAAACTAATATACGAGATAGACTCATTACATGCAAAGCAAGATAATTCAAGCCGTGATTTGTCATCATTGTGATGATTATGGCTTACAGCTCATGAAAACCCCAAGAACCCCAAATCCACAACCTCAAAAAAGTAGATTATTACATGCAATTAATAAAACAAGGATTGTACATAGAACAATATCGGACCTCTGAAAAGTACAAGCATGCATATGTACTCAGTACTTGGTTTGGGCCCCTTTTGCAGCACTTACTGCCATTACTTTTGCACGATATTCTAATTATTCGAGTTTCACCTGTATAACCTGCGAATATTGACCGCAGTCGATTTATTTGGTGAGAAATCCAGATTGATCTGGGTGAATAAGGGATGCGATTTTAGAGAAGTCTGTTAGCCAAAACCTTAGCGTCATTGTTAAGGAGAGAGATAGGCCGATAGGAGTCGGGAAGCAGAAGATCCTTACTTTTTCTGGGAAGAACAGTGGCATCGTACATGGAAAGCGGCAGATGACCTAATTTTAAAGCCTCATTTAATGTCTGGTGGAGAGTAGGAAGTATAGAACCTCCATATTTTGTATACACTTCCATGGGGAAGCCATCAGGGCCAGAAGCCTTACAATTAGGAAAGCTATTAAATCGCCTTCTCTATCTCCACGTGAGTGATCGTGGCCTCCAGATCAGAGGACACATTTTCTCAGTTTAACTACCTCCCGGCCGGCCCTTGTAAGGAAATGGGGGTCCTAGGTGACATTAGGGGTCTTGGAGACCCCTGATGTCTCCATAAAGAGGACCTGTCACATATTTTGCTATCACATAGCGGGGTTTCTTAGCCCCCTATGTGATAGCAATAAAGTTAAGTGAAAAAAAAAAAAAAAGGAAAAAACAAAATGTAAGTTTCCCAAAAAAAGTTACACATGAAAAAGAATAAAAAAAAACAAAATGTTTTTTTAAAGCCCCCACCCATACATGCACGCTGCAAACATGCGTCGGGTGCGCATATCTGCGAAAACAAGGATTGCGCCCATTACGCCGCATGTTACATATCGCCGCGAACGTCACAGTGAGAGCAATAATTCTAGGGCCATTAATTACTGATAACACTAAACTGATGAGCGGTAAAAGCTTTTAAAGCATCGCCTATGGTCAATTTTGTGCATGGTAGTTTTTTGCGATTTTGCGTGTTGCACGCAATTTTTAAGCTTGACATGTTTGGTGTCTATTTACCCGATGTGACCCTGACTTTTATATTGTACAAAAAAATTGGGTAATAATAATTGTTTCCTAACAATATAAAAAAAAAAATTAATTTCAGTACAGCGGTGCATGACGGAATAAATGTCAAAGTACTACAGCGCCAAGTACTGAAAAATGGCCTGGCCAGGAAGGGGGTCTAAACACCTGGTCTTCAAGTGGTTAAACATTTGATAAGTTTTCTATTTTTTATTGTGAATAAAATATGGGTTTATGTAGATTTTACACAGCGTCCAAATTTGTTAAAAATTGGGGTTGTATAAAGATTCCTTGCAGTGATAAGGTCTCTGCAATACTAGGACTGCATGGTTTGTATATTGTACGAGTTTCTAGTTCATGCTCCAACCAGAGTATGTATAGTGTGTTGACAACTGCAATAGCAACAGTAGATTTAGTCTCCTTTGGGTGCAGGAACTACATTAAATGGTTCAACGTCCGCTTTAAATAAACCTGTCACAATCCCAGGTAATTCAAACACAGCATACAATAACAAAAGAAAATCAGCAGATCTAAAACAACTGAAACCTTCCTTTTCTGAGGCTTTGCTATTGGTCTTTATATGTGATAGTTGGCAACTAACCAAAAGGGAGACTCCAAGTAGGAAGCAGTAGATCTAGGATTTATGTTTTCAGAAACAAAGGAGATCTGCATATAACTTCAGCTACTTATATCTCTAGATCTACTGATCTATTCAACATTTTGTCAATTTGAATATGCATTTTTCATGGTGTTCAGTTATATACACACACATCACTGGAGTTTAAATTGCCTGCATTTGTGACAGCTTCACATTAAAGTTGGGCAGAGAACCTGACTAACTAAAACAAATTTAGCCCCTTACAAATTGGTATCCTGTCTAGAACATGTAAGGTAATCATAAACCTTTAAATTTCGCCAATTTGAACTGGCATTTAAAGGCAGAGATTTGAATATTAACCTTCAAATCTCAGTAACATTATACATCTAAATTCTATAAGACAGCAACATGTTTCACGAGAGAAACGACAGAAAAAAGCTGTACATCTGATACACTACCTGCATAATGAATTCTCTTCTGCGCTGAATTCCTCTCTCTGACAGCAAGACATACTCAGGTTCCTTCTCTTTCTTAGCCTGTTGAATCTGAGCCAAGCGACTGATTGGATTCATTCCCTGGCCATATTCTGGGGAAGCCTAGGGAAAAATAGCCAAATAATTATACACTGGACAAATGAAGTACTGCGGATGCAACAATCAACAACACAAAATGAATATAATAGGTTCCTGTGACTTTAATGAAAATATCTAGTACTAGGATAAAATAAATGAACCTGTTTTTTCACCATTTTAGATCTAGACTTGGGTCTGTGCCATCATTGGACTAGAGATGGAAAGAGAATGTATTGTATTTTTGTATAATTATTAGGTCGTATGGTTACGGTCTAGTAAATACAATGTTCATTTAGTTTTAGTTACATGTTATATCATTTTTTACATTTTGGTTTACTATGTTCAGTTAGTTTTAATTACTTGAATATGGATTTTTTTTTATACTTGGCAGTCAGCCAGGTGATGGAGAACATGAGCCAAAGGCACCCCCCAAGTGCCAGGCTGTTTTATGCGTAAATAGCCTGTCCCACAACCCCTACCTTTCTACTACTTCTAGTACTATTTCTAATGGGCTTTCTTATTATAAGACCCGCATTCGCTGATGTGTCATGGGTGGACACTGTACCGAATGTTTGTGTGCCAGATGGAGATGCATAGCAATGTTTTCCTGTCATTTTGTGCACACACATTTTATTGAAAAAATTCTGTATGACCGTGGAACTGTGGAAAAAAAGGAAACACGCTTTTACCAAGCATGAAATACACTTATTTGAGCCACAGACCAGATCTGCAAGATTTGTGCTTACACTATACAATCAATACCATTAAGACCAATCTGGTAGATCCTCATACTACATAAGCAGTATATACCTATGTAACTATGGACTATTTAACAGATCAGATCAGCAAAATCCTGTGTGGCTTATGAAATCCAAAAATAAGGCAGGTCCTGGCGGTGCTGCAATCTGAACCAGAATGGTGGGGGGATCTTTGAGTGATAGATCTACCAGCCCATGGTCAACACTTTGGAATAACAAAGATAGTAGACTGTGCACCATAAGCAAATGGAAAGCTCTATTTAACAGCTCTTGAAAAAGTTCTGCAGATCATTTTGTGGACATTACAATAGAAAGAGCTTGTGTTCTTGGTGGAAGGAGACATTTTAAAGAGGTGACAGAAAAGCAGAGAATGTGACCATGGGCTGTAAAGAGTCACACAGGAAGACACAGACAGCTGAGCTGCATTAGTGGTCATGGGAAAAGTAAATGGTTTGTGCTGCTTAACAAAAGCAAAGTTTTAAAGAGAAAACAATGAATTTATATCAAATTAAGTCGCCTTGCATCACAGCAGATTTGAGGTTTTCTTTCCTTGGCCGCTTTCCAAGATTCTGGCAAAGTGCTATACAGAGAAGAGATCATTGACTTTTAAATGGCATTGTAAATTCTTTATTTTTCGAATGACGGGCTCTTATAACAGCTTCAATGCAGCAGTCTGTAAGCCCTGCTTGTATTTCAGCATAACTGACCAGGAAGACGTCGGTAAATGTGCTAATGTCCGTTTTATGGACTTTTTTATGGGTTTGTTAGTGGGCTGTATATCTCATCTTGACACGCCATTACCAGCGAACATTGGCAACATGTTTCGCTGGCCATTACAAAATTATTCCTTTAGGGGCAGGTTGCAGCAGAAGACGCACTGCAATAAATATGCAACATTAAGGAGGCAGTCTCATTAAAATGAAAAACTGCAGACTGCTTGAGCCGAAGCACTGACCCAACCTGATGGCATCTTCTTGTTAAATCATGTCTAGCTTGGCTTTAATGGAAGAAAATTAGCTAGCACACGTGGGCTAGCATCTTGTGCTTGGAGTCTGGCACACTAACAGGGACGCTAACACTGCATAATTGCATGACATAGGAAGAGACACAAAACTTAGAGCTGCCAATTCATTAAGTGGAAATTCATCTTGTATATTTAGTGCATTTGTATTCATTTGTATTGTACAAAATTGCACACTGCACCTAATATTCTCAACCTAAGATTGCTGAAAGATGACCTTAGATTCCATCAGGATATTAAAGACGATCAGCCTAAATGGATGACCGTTAGCTAAAGCATTGTGCATCATACTGCCATTTGTTTCAATAAATCACTGTTTTTTTCATCATTTGTTTTGCAACTCAGTGCTACTAATCTACTACAGCCTCCTTTGACCACTTCCTGTCTACACATGCATGTGCTCCAGTATCGGCTCAATACTTGGACTGGCTTTCTGATAATGATAGCAGTGGACTTTGCCTGCATAATTTGTGGTGGCATATGAAACAAGTGACAACGTAGAAGCACAATTGGCAGACATTTACACTCTAAACAGAAAGTGACTGAGCAAGAACCTTCATTGAAGACAGGAAGTGTTTTATCTGCAGGATCAGGTGAAAATAAAGAAAATGAATGCAGCAACCGCATCTAAGGACTAATAACCTGCAATATATTACATTTCTGCTTTTGATATACTTTAACATTGTTATTAAGGCCTGGTTCTCACCAGAGCGTTTTTATATGCGGATCCATGCATGCGAAAATGCGGCAGAACACACATTATCATGCAAGTCAAAGGCAACAACTGTTCACACCTTAGCGTTGGTTTGCGCACAGAAAACCGCCGTTGCGCGAAAAGATGCAGGAGCTATTTTGAGGCGAATCCCGTGCAGTTTTGCATCTTCATGCAGGGAGAAATCTCATTTAAAATGCAAACACCTAGGTGTGAACCTAGCCTAAAGGTTGAATCTAAGTCTACATTAAAGAATAAGTGAACTTTTAGAGATGCACACTTACTGAGATCTGGCGCCCAGGTCCCCAGTACTTGTTGATATCCCATGGTGAAATCCTGGTCTGTTGGGGGCACCTGTGCAGTAGAAGTCCAATCGTGCATTTCTATCTCCCACATGCGAGATGCAGGGAGACAAGCCCCATACACTTCTATGTGGCTCTAATGCACAAGCATGACCAGTAGAAAGAGATATTCGGTTTGGGATATAAACGCAAGGAGTCCTGGGTGCTAGCAGAAAGGACTTAAGGTACTTTTATTGCACAAATTGGAGGAGAGGAGACTTTTACGACTCCTTTGAGCAGCTCATCCCATTCACCCTGTTGTGTACTTCCCTGGTAAGCCTAAGAGAAGCTATTCCAGAATCAGGAGGTAGTGACACATATACATAAAACCTGGCATCAGTGCTTGATTGAAATTAATATACAGATGCTCCATTACAACTATTATTGTTTTAGGTGGTACATGCCCACAGTTCCCCCCCACACCGCCCAAAAACCAAGCCATACTGATTTGACTAATGCTTCACCATTTCCTGGTAGTGTCACAGTTTGCCTACCCCTTCTGCCTCCTATGCATACTTATTGGCCAGTGAGGCCATCATAGTGTTGGCCCAATCGGAATGTATAAGGGGAGGGAGAAGGGAAGCTTCAACACTAATCAGGAAATGTCAGTTTTTCCCACACATGGGTCAGCAACTCAGCATTCAAGTGGAATGGTGAGAAAGCTGCTGCAAGCAGGTGTAGCTGTACTTGGCCACAGTTTTATTTTATTTTTTTCGTAACCAAAACATTTAGTACACATGAGAATGTGTCCCAGCCTAACCCAAATCTGCTGAACCAACCTCACCCAAATCTTATTAGAACATTCAACAATGCCAAAAGACAGTGCTCCTCACCCTTTTTATCGTCGCGGACCGGTCAACGCTTGATAATTTTACCGTGGCCCGCTGAGGGGGGGACGTTGATTGTTTGTTTATATTTTAGATTGTTTTGATTTAATAATTTTAATTTAATTGTATTTAAACATGCCTTCAAAATAAAATACAGTTACACCAAAAAATAGTACCATTTGATCCACGGACCGGACGAGACTTGACGAATGTGTGATTTTAACATTTGATTCTGGAATGGATGGAGTTTCTTGAACAAAAACCACAAATCGGCGTTAGCATTTAGTTTCCATCCAGCGCCTTCAATTTTTTTCATCACTACAATTAGAAAATTGAACAAACGTTCCGAAGAACTTCGTCTGGTGTATTATAAGAGTAAGGCTTCCAAAAGGGAATCAAAATCAACAATCAAAATGCTGAATTACTGCACCACCTTTTAAAAGAGACGTTAAAAATCGCAATATATCTTTTTTTGTCTTTGTTAAAGGCAACAAAGACAAAAAAAAAACCAAACTCTATCACATGTATTTTAACATGCATACTACAAATTACACACACACTCTTTGACATTTCAACCAATGTTAAAGTACAGGGAAAAGAGAAAAGGCAATGTCTTATTCCATGAGTTGTCAATGTCTGGAACAAAGAATCACTGGTCATGCAGTGGAAAATCTCGTAGATTGCCATTAATAACTAACAACGAGAAACAGCTATCAGTTGTTTACAGAACTTAAAGAAAATAAAAAGTGAGGTGCAGAGAGGAAATTTCCGTCATGGGTATATATTCCTACACACCCACCAATGCTTGAAGCAACCACAACAGCTGTGCAAGAAGACTGAAGATTATTCTGGCACTGATGCAATTCACTCACTAAATGCACTTTAAATATAATTGTATTAGCTTTAAAACAATCAAAAAGAAGCCCTTTTTCAAAAGGTATATTCAAGTTTGAAAAATAACATGGCAAATAATACACAGACAAAGCCTAAGTGCCCAGGGCAATGTTTTGGTTTTTTTACCCCATGAAGTGTTAAAAGCTGAAGTTAAGGCAGATATAAAAAGACACCATTATACTGTATGTAGCCCTGTGATCCTTAATGCATCATCGATTTTATTGCAGGTACCTAAATTTGGCTTGGTATCTTTGACCTGGACTCTTGAAGTCCTGTAGAGCAGGGCTGGAGTGTGAGAGGAAGCAGCAGAACAAGAAGCATGCTAGTAGAACTGCTGGGAAAATCGCTGGATTGAAGATGAATTTTGCAGCAAAGTTTGGTTTTGTTATTTTGCATCTTTGAAATGACTATTCACATTTATCTGGTTCTCTTTGGCTGAAGTTCTGCTTTAAGCAATGGAGGCAACCCTAATGTGTAAAAAAATCTTTTGACTCCCAACATTTTGGGTACACCTAATTCTGAGCTTACCCTACAGTCTCCTCTGTACACATCTGATCAATTATATGCTTTTTCCAAACCCCAGGAAGCATAACATGAAGCCTAAGGTCAAATAAACATTTAGTCTTTACGGTTCTTGAAAACAACAAGCAGATACTAATATATGCAAAAAGGTAACAGGCAGAAACCCAAAAGGCAGAAATTAACATTCACTGCATTTAATGCAGTAAAACCACTGAAAGCTGGTACCTGATTGGGCGTTTTTGGTGTTAGAGTGACAACAACGTTATTTGCACACCTTCCAACCATGAAGAATACAAAAAAATGATTGGTTACACCCACAATTTCGGTTTTTCACCATTTATTTTTCTGTATGCTGGCTTTTTAAAATATGAAAAGCAATTATTTTGAAGTTGGGTAAAAGTGTACTATAAGATTTTTGGAAGTCAGACAGAACATAGACAGAGGTGAATCCATTAGACAAAAAAGAAGGACAGCTGAGGAGGAAGGAAGACAGTTGTATTTGGTTACAAAAAAAAAAGAGGAGGGGAAATCCTATATAGTCATACATACTATACTTATCATAGGAAACCTGCCTTGTGCACCCTGGCTTACATCAAGAGTGTCAATCAGACCTTCTATAATTCAAAAGGCATCATAACCCAAATAAGAAAAGCAAGTAAACCTGAAAACATACATGGAATACATCTCATGCTGTCATTGCTTCCTTTCAAAGACATTATACTAGTAGTTTATTATACAAATCTAAACATAATGGCACATGACGCCTGCTTAAGCCACTTGCTTAGTTCCACCCTTGTGCTGACTTCAATCCAAGGCTGCTGTAAAAAAAATAATTAAAAAAAAACCACCTTCCCACTGTTTTCTTTCATATTTGTATAGACTAGTTCAGCAACTTGGGGCAAAATGAGCACAACAAATTAACGATGCTTGCTGAATGACATGGGCTTTGCCAAAGCACTTTGTATAATTAACAAACTGCCATTTCCTAAAATAAAATACTAATTTTCAATTTTTGTTCATCCATTGATGCATCTTAGTGCTGATGATCTATGACCTGCCAGCTCCTTGCAACCACCTAAATTTGAACATTGGTGCTCATATTTTTGCACACCATTACAATAATGTCTCAACTACTATTTAGCTGTATTCTGTAAAGCACAAGAGCATAATAAGCAGGATATATATACAGTAATACCTCGGTTTACAAGTAACTTGGTTTGAGAGCGTTTTGCAAGACAAGCAAACATTTCTGAAAAATGTTGCCTTGATATACAAGCAAATGTCTTGCAATAAGAGCAAAATTTTGTAGAAAAACATTTTATTAAAGCCTTCAAGTCAAGGCTGTAAAAAGCGGATCTCCAAAAGTACGCCTTTTAGCAACAGCAGTATTGCTTTTAATATTGTGGACTCAAAGCACTCTCAGACGTTTCATGTCAGTGGAAAACCGCAGAGGCTTAAATACAGGATCCTTCCCTCACAGATGGCACTGCACTTACTATATTAAAACCACGTGCAGTTATTAAGTTTTACTTTGACATACATGGAAAACAAATGTCACATGTTGGCCCTCACAACGGCTGTCTGCCAAAGCCCACCTTAGAGCTGGCAATTACTCCTGTTCTGTGAAGCAGGATCTTAATCTAGCATGCAATGCAAACTTCAGCCGTCTATGACCCAACTATTAATTCACATGATGCAGCTCTGTTTAGGTGATTTGGAGTAATACAAATAACAAAAGTAATAATAAATAGCACAAATATGACTACTTTAGTGTAGCAGTTTGTGAACTTGCCCCGAGCTCATCTGGCTTATTATTGTGAGGATTGTTGTACATGTAAACTGCAACAACAAACTTCTCTTGTTGTTAAATATACCATTAATAGAATCTGGTTATATCTGCTCGGTAAATGCAGTAAAATACCGGTTGATCCTGCCAAAAATCTAGTGAGCTTACAATAGCGCGGCAGAGGTAGGATGAACAGGAAATTATTTGTTACCATTGTTCCCTGTTCTCTCTGTGAACTACAGAACCTCTCAGGCCTATTTTATGGAGATGAGTAGAGGGGGAGATGCACTTTAGTCCTAACACACTTCCTGTCCTAGGGAGACGAGGCTGCTCCTTCATAGCTATAGAACAGTGAATGATCATCATCAGCCTAGGACCAAAGGCATGTCCCTGGCAGGATCACAAAGGTAAAGAAAAAAAAAAAAGCTTAAAAAAATTAAGCTAATGCAGCCACCACATCCAAGTGCTGGTAAACTGCAATATAATAGGATTTTACTACTCACCATAAAATAATTTTCTTGCAATCTATTGAGGGACACAGTAAGCATGATCTTAAACACAGAAGGGTGGGAACTGTGGCTCTCAATGGACTAAAACATTTAAAAAATATATATTACGGTAATAGTAAAAGAACTGCCTTAACCTCCCTGGCGGTAAAAAAAAATTTTGTTCACTTTTGAATCTTCCGCCGGTTCCGCACCCCTGCGACGCGGACGCTTACAAGGGACGGTACCTGGAAGACGGATGCCAGCATCGGCCGGAGGACACAGCGGGGCTCGAGGGACAAGGTAAGAGACGCGATGTGTATTCCCGAGTGCGGCTCGGGTTTTACAGCTTATGGTACAAAAAATTAACCCCGAGCCACACTCGGGAATACCGCCAAGGAGGTTAAAGACCTTTTTCCTGAAGCTGGCATCAGAGGTGACACAGATTTCACCTGGTAGAACTTAGAGAATGTGCAAACAGAAGGCCAGGTGGCAGCCTTGCAAATCTGGGTGACTAAGCCCTGAATCATGGTCTTCCTGAGCCACCTAGAGATGGTGGAACAAGAACCTGATGCCCAACTGGAATGACAAAAAAGAAATCTGTCTTTCCGAAAGAAGTATTGCCTGAGTTAGAATTGCAGAGCACAAACTACATCTGGACAATAGAAGAAAAATTCCTTTTGAGTAAAACCTGGACAAAGTGATGGGAGAACAATGTCCTGGGTTAAGGTGAAAGGAACAGACTACCTTAGACAAGAAGGAAGTCCTGGGCTGCAACACCACCTTATGCAAGACCAAAAAGGGGTCTTTGCAGGATAAGTCCACCGGTCTAAGATATCAATGGAGTTGTAACTTACATAAAGCTTTGAACTCCTGGTGTTCTAAATATGATTGGTTCAGCATTATCACTTGAGTGAGTTACAAGCTCCTCCACAGTGTATTTCTTTCACTTCCCCATGCAGAACAGAGTGGAAGGGAAGAAAGGGTAAGTACATGCTGCTGGAGAGGAGTAGGGGACAAAGGCAAAGTAAAGGTTTGCTTTAAACTCCATACAACACATATCAAATACCAGTAATATTTTATGGGTTCCATCTGTTTCAACCTAAGACTTGGCAGATGACCTTAAAACTCTACAAATGTACCTTTATTATGGTTTTGGGGCGTCTTTTCACATAAAGTCTTGGTTTTTCAACTATAGGAAGAGGAGGAAGTTTTCGCAGTTCTTGCAGTACTGCTGCAGCAGCCCTCCTCTTTGCAAGCTTCTTGCTGTTCCCTTCTCCTTCAGCAGTGAATTCTCCCACTGTCACCCTGGTAACAAAACTCTTCATGTGCGGAGGGCCACTTTCCTTGGTCACCTAGGAGAGAGAAAACAAAAAGTCCATGTTAGCAAATGTGCAATCACAATCAAAACTATCTTTAATCTGCTTTATTGCAAGTTGGCCCAAAAAAACTAGATACAGGCAATCCCCGAGTTACGGACGTCCGACTTACGGACAATCCGTACTTACGAACGGGGTCCACAGTTCTCCTAAATGTACCGGCAGCCAGTTAGGAGAACTGTGGCTGCAGCGGCCTGTGTCCTTTCAAATCCCCGCTGCTCTCCGCGCCTGTGTTGGCGGAGGCCGCGGGGACACAGACCGCTGCCCCACTTGCCTCCGCTGATGTGCCGGGCTCTTCTTCAGCCGTTCCGTTGGCTTCCCCGGTCCGGACAATGTACCGCGCTTCGGGTAAAAAAAAGCGCGACAAACGCGCGTTTCCGAGGGCCACCTGGCTGTATCCCAATGGATACTGCAGCAAATACGCCCCAAAGAAGCTCCTGTACTTCTACAGCGCGTTCTTCGCGCTGTAAAACGCCCAGGTGGGAACCATGCCCATAGGCAATCATTGGTTTTCACATGTTGAGCGTTTTACAGAGCGTAGGAACGCGCTGTAAAACGCCCAGGTGTGAACCAGGCAATGCAGGCAGACTGGCAGAGGTATTGCCCAGCCTTATACACCCAGCTCAAGTAGGGTTTGTGAGGGGAAGAGCGGCGATATCATCATCACATATCAAAGAATGGGCGAGGACTTTCCCACCCCGGATCTAGTGGAGCACATCGTGGAGGGCTACAACTTAATACGCAAACTGGTCACTAATGAAACTTGGAGGGAGACCCAGTTTAAAATAATGCACCGGGCCTATGTGGCATACTTTCTTCCGGCGGGAGCAGAGGAGCAACGACTCATATCAGTGTGCCCTAAATGCGGTCTCTCCCGCCCCACGTTGGCTCATTGCCTATGGACGTGCCCGTCAATGGGACAGTTCTGGACAGGCGTTACTACATACATAGCTACAGTCTTACGGTGGACACCGATACAGAATCCTCTGCTGTATCTGTTCAGCGCACCTGAGTATTCCGGAGTAGACCCTCACTGTTCAACCCAAAGGGGCAAGGATTGGATGCATCTTTGCCTATTGGCAGCTCGAAGATGCATAATGGGAGCATGGAATAAGTCCTCCACCCCGCCAATCTCCAGCATCATCACGGAATTGAGGATCTTGTTCCTGAGGGAGAAACTTGAAACTGAAATGCATGTTGATGCACTCACGGCTAAGTTCTTCAAACGATGGAAATACTTCTTAGAAGCATCGTATGATGAAACGGAATTAGCGACAATAATGCAACCCTTCAAGTACTCGAACTGGTATCTCAAGGCAAAACTGACAGTGAGCTTGGGGGTCCTGGAAGTGCCCTGACACGAACTGAGGCTTTAGTGATAGTTTACGGCTAGACAATAGCATAGTGTATGAAACAAAACAAACAAAAAAAAAAAAAGAGTAGTAACTGGCATGTTCCAATAGCATTCAATAACTAACGCAAGAGTGGCAACCAGCTTGGGAATAATGGGAATGTTGAGATGTTTAAGTTTGATATTTCTGGTACAATTGTTGGGGTTACTGTAAATAGCCTCATACTGTGTACATTTTATGCTGTGGAAGAAAAAGCCGAACCCCCTGGGGTAGGGCCGAGAAAACAGAATAAAGTTTGTTTTAAAAAAAAAAAAAAACCCCAAATATGTTTTCTGAAACTAGAGATCCTTTAGAAGAAAGTACCCAATATTGTAAATAAGTGAGGCCTTAAAAGCTTTTACAGCTCATAAATTTAGAGTTAACCATAAATGATGGCCCTGGAATTTCTGCTCTCACTTGGGCCGGAATCAGCTGAAATACAAGTCATGCATGGCAAGCTTTAAACTGTGACAGGGAAATAACAAATAAGATAAGTCACCTGTAAGAGATTCAGCTAATTACAGATGTTCACTGGTGACAAAATCTGGCATGAACCTGGACAATTCTGACTGAACATATGGGGAAAAATGGATGGATAAGTAAACTTTCTGAGGTTTTAATTTTAATTTTAAAACCACCGTCTGTCTCGGTAGGGAGATTTCACTTCACGTTTGTTGATACAGGTGGTGCCGATGAGTCGTCCCACACCTCAAATTTGGGCAGATGCAGCAGGTATCAGGATCCCCGTAAGGCAGTTACATTGGGCCAAGCAGGATCAATGTAAGTATGTAGAATACTTTATAACTGGTGTTTAATGTTAGATTCTGACTAAAATATTTCAATAAAGCAGAACTATTGGGCAAAACTGTTCTTATTCCTTGCAGTGGGGTCACACTCCCACACTGCAAGGGTTAAGTGCTTGTTTTTGTCTAGGTGCTAAAACATAAAAACTTTATACTCACCCAATCCTCGGAGCCCACATTGCTCCAAGACCTCTGTTGCAGTGGTCTAAGGTCCCGTCGAAAGTCACAACTTTCTATAAACAGTGTATAGGACGTGAGGACACCAAGTGACATACCATCGCAGCAGTGGAAGGAGCAGACAAGCTGAACTTTTTTTATTTTAGCACCAAGACCAAAATGTGCAGTTAAGAACAGTTTTGCCCGGAGTTCTGCTTTAATATTTACTGAATGTGCACCAAGTTTGCAGAATTCCCAAGAAAGATGTAAGGTACAGCTAAAAGCAAGACAGACTGTAACACAGGAATGCAATTACCATGGAATGTGGCTGTCTGCACAATGAAAACAGAAAAAATGTCAGACATAGCCAACTGACACTTAAGAGAAAACATTTTTTGTCTATTCCTAGAAAATGTCATTGTATGTGATCAGAATGTGGAATTTGCGCAAGTCAAGTGACATACGTTTTAAACAATCTATAGAAAATGTAAAGAGTGTCTTCTTACTATCAATCGATAATACGAAATCACCTGCACTCCACGCAGTGCACAGACCCTGAGTAAGAGGTCGGTGCTCGAAGTGACAACACGGATGGCGCCGTGTCAGATACAGTTCATAATAGAAGTCACCAGCACTCGATATGTGCAAGAAGTAAAGCACTTTTTATTAAATTGTCACTATGTCGCCCAGAAAAAGGGACCCTGTGTCGCCCAGAAACATTGGCTGTTTGACGCATGTGACAATTGAATAAAAAGTGCTTTACTTCTTGCACATATCGAGTGCTGGTGACTTCTATTATGGTCTTCTTACTAGCAGGTACACCTTCAGGCCTTGAAAATATGAGCGTCATTTATAAAACTTCTTCACAAAATACCATTGTTACACTTCCAAGGAACAGTTATGTGAGATCACTCTCACACTCTCTCTCACACTCTCAAACATTCACTTTTGCATGCCCATGCCAGTGCAACTGAATCAGCCAGTTCAGTAGTTGGCCCTTGGCTGGACAGCCATATAGGAGGAGAATGGTACCGAAACTTTGGTACTACATGCATGTGTGATTATTTTTATGCTGTGTGATTATTAAAGAGTGCCATGTGTTCTACTCATCTACTGTTTGACTGCTGTCACAATCTTGAACAGGTCCCTGTCCACAAACTACACAAATGGAATCCTCCCTCTCCATCGGGAGCTGCCCGATACGGCCATGAACACAGCATAGAGCTATACGTGCTGGCCGATTGCTGTGTGAATGAGCCCTAAGAGTAAGAACTTCCTGAAATGTGGCTGAATTTCGCCTTTCCCTATGAAGATTGGTGAGATTGACAAGCAATGTGGTGCGCACCCAGGGCAAAATATTGCTGAAACAAGTCTATGGACTTCTTATACACCATTTATATGATGTTTCAACATATTCACTATTACTAACGATTAGTTATGATCTAAATGCTCACAATTGCTGGAATACAGCGCAAAAAAAAAAAAGCACAGCATGTCTGTTTTTTTTAATAAAACGTCAAAAAAAAAGCTATATCGAAATGTTTTAAATGATCAATATTTTTGAACAACAAGAAATAAACCTGTCTCCAAAACCTGTCTCCAAGAGAATTCTATTTCATCTTAATTTCACATTATACATGTAATTGGGGGCGGTGGACTTCCCTCCAATCGATCAAGCAGCAGAGACCCACCATGCCGGTCCTCTGCCCACACAGGGGACAGCAGAGCTCTATAGCAGTCTGAACGCTTGTATGTAAAACGGCCATCACTGGATGTAATCATGGCTGCAGCAGGTATAGTATATCCGTTTCAATTGCCGCCGCTATTCTACAATGGGCGGACAGTAAGCACTTACTTACAGACAGCTTTAACAGGAGTTGGACGGACAGCTTCCTTGAATTTGTGATAAGCTGGGGCTTGGTGCGAACCCAGTTGGGAGACAGGGACAAAGCATCATCACCCTATAACTAGAAGTTCCTGAACAAGAAATCTCATGGCAGGGTCACCAGATATTTTTAAAGCTTAACTCTGGCCGTGAATTTTTTTTTTTAAATAATGTAAATATATTCCTCAAGAGCCACAAAAGATATAAATCCACTTAATGTGCACCAAATGCCTTTGCAAGCCCAGGTATCAACTTGTAAAAGTAGCTGTGACATCATCACTGTGCTGCACATAGCCTGTGCAGATAGCAGAGCTGTGTGAGGCATCCAGCAGGCCTACCCACTACAGGATGCCTGCAGGAGAGGACTACAGGAGGAGGATGATAGAAGATCAGCAACCCTGCATAAGCAGCAAGAGCAGCATTACCTAGTGTTAGAGGCAAACTTTCACATTGGGTTACTACACAGATCTGGAAGAAATACACAAAGCTCACCAAGAATCAATGAACAAGAATACACATGCCTCTCGTCACTTTCTTATCCTGGAGTTTAGTGTAATAATATTGCAAATTACTTTTGTAACAATATTAACCTGTTAAAGCTTATAGAACATTTGAATGATTGCAATTACACCTAGTCTAATACCACTCACATCACTATGAAAGTTGCTTGCACACAATATCCAGACATAAAAAAAAACTACAATGAAACCTTGGTGCTAAAAATTGGTGCCAAGTATTGAA